TTATTATTTTATTTAAAAAATACTAAATACAATTAAATTTTTCAGGCAAATTTGCCTGGAATACAGTTTAAGGGATACGTATTTTAGATAAGATTAGATTAGATTAGTATAAATAAGTCAGATTAGAGGGTTTAAATAAAAGATCTATAGATATAATATATGAAAGATAACTATAGTAGTATAGTAAAGCTTTTAAATAGACAATAACTAAAGTTATATATGTATTTATATATATTTTTATTAGGATATACTATACTAATCAAAAAACCCAGGGTCTCATACAAAATACCTGTTGAAAACTTACAAAAAACCTGAATATATTATATAGCAGTAGGTCTGTATTACAAGAAAGAGAAATTTCATTTATATATATACTTCGCAGTTTGAAAATTTTAAAAAACTTGTATTTAATTAATAAAGATTTTGTGTTTTGCACCAGGTATTTTGCAAAGAAGAATATTAAAAACGGGGAATACTTTGGTTAGTGAACTACAGTACTATGTTTGAAACCTCTGGAGGCAGTGTTATATATGAAACAGTTGAAATATAGGTTGGACATTTTAGGACATTTTGAGATAGTTTTATAAATTAAAATTACTCAAAATTTATTAAGATAATCTACTTTAATTTTTTTAAAAATATATTTAGCACCTAAAAAAATATTTAATTTTATATTTTTTAAATTAACTTATTAATTATTAAAACTTGAGACTTAGTTGAGACATTTTAAGATATTGGGACGTTGGGATATAGCTGGGACAGTAAAAATGTACAACACTGCCTGAAGGTACCAGTGATCTCTCGTGCACCTAATAAAAGTGATAAGCCGAAGAGGCTAGCCTTGACTATAAAAAAAAAACAAATTTAAATAAGGTTTAATTTAAAATTTGTGTAACTATTTAAGGTTTTAAAAAAGGATGCAATATATTGCACCTGCAATAAATTATCAAATCCTTAATTTATTTGATTAATAAAGGTCTAAAAGATTCTTGACATTGCACTTTTACTAATTTTTTTAACCGAAAATTTCGCAATAAAAGTTACACTCCATTTTCTGCAAAAATTCTATTAAAATTTCGTCCTGTACGTTTAAGGTCTAATTTTTTTCACTTTAACTAATGAAATTTAAATGATAAGATGAATGTTCAAAATTTATGTTAATAGACAATTCTAAAGCTTAACTTTATTCTCCAACATTTAATAAAGCACTTGTGAACATTTCTAGGTAATTCCTTGGGGTTTCGATAAGTTGAATCATCTTAAAACTCATTAATTTTAATAAATATATTAATAATCAACGATAACGATAATTATTGATCTTTTATTTGCGTAACACGAAAAATCTGTAATACGTATATCAAATTCCATGGTGTACGTACGTACGTAAGTACATATACCGTTTTATTCCCCCGTAATCATGAAATAATGATCGGGATTAGACTACATAGTTATTTAGCGTTAGTATTTTCTGCATAATGTATGTACTAATTAATGCACTATGAATCTGGCATGTCTCTAGTTGTTACATATCTACATGTACGTATAATCAATGAAATTAATTAACCCAAAAGGGAAAAAAAAAAAACTACAAACATTTCCTAAAAAAAGATATGTAATTATTTTTATACACTATTATACGTGTTTACGTAGTACGTAAATAAGTTATTAAACAACTGGTCATTATGTTTTACTTCACTCTCCACCCGATTCTTTGACCATTTACTTTGAAATTTTAAAAAATTCTTTAGATCTTTTTCTTTCTCGCTGGTCAGGGATGGAGGTTTAGTTCCTTTAATATTAAAATCATTATTATATTATTTATTTATTTATTATAAATAAACGAAAATGACTAAAGTTTTATATGAGTCGAAAGATATATTAAAAAAATATCCTAAATCAGAGCCTTTTCTATTAGTGTGCATGAGAGGGGCATGTATGGCAATATGTATAATAATACTTTTATTATATTTTGCTTTCTTATTATTTTTTATTGCCACCGATAAACCTTATTTGATGACGGCTTTGGTGTCCAAGACTTCTATTCCTGTTCCAGGTAATATTCAATTTTAAATTTTGTATTATCTGTTTTAAAAACATCTGTTTTTTAATTTTTATTTATTTTAATATAAAAAGACATGATCTTTACATCCGCTTTTAATTTCTCCATGAGATGTCAGTTTCAGTATCTTGGTAAGTACACCTTTAGCATAATAATAACCGCATACATCCATAAATGCTCATACATCCATAAATGCTACTTTGTTGCTTATATAAATGCTATACCTGTATTTACTTTTCTCGCTTAAAGACCGATTAAGCACAGACGATGATACGAATTTATGTACAAAATACATAAACGCAACACAATGTTCTACAGAAACTGATGAAAATCGTTTTGATGGGCGTTGTATTGGCCAATTTGATAGTCGAAATTGGCAATCTGATCCTCAAAATATGTTAAATTACACGATTCAACCAAGTCAAAACAAACTTTATGCTATCACTTTTACTTTTTACCAAACGCCAAATGATACGGGATATAATGCTACCTCTGATACCGGAATGAAAGTCAGAGCTGTGGAATCCAGTAAGTAATTATGTAATTGTGATGAAATATTGATTACCTATTTCAAGATAGCTTTTTCACCTTTAGTTTGTTTTAAATTTAGTATTTAACCCAATGAGAATTAACGATAACTTAAAGTATCTTATGAAACTAATTGACCAATTTTATGTTGAAAGATTGTTAAATTTAAATCTCCACGTTCTGGCCTATCAACAGGTAACTACAAAAAAAAAAGAAAAAAAAAAAAAAAGATACTTATAAAATATATTCTTAACCTTAAAAAAAAGGTGAATCAAATGTATATCACCAGGAAACAAAGACGCTATCGAATACCAAGTTTTCTAAATGTCATTGGAATTCCTCCAAGTTACTTTGAAGTTCCTTTCATTGATTCTACCTTTGGTTAGTAATTTTTCCATTTTCTTAACCTATATTTCATTTTATAAACATATATATATATATTTATTTATTTCTTTATTAAATAATAGAATCGGTCAAAATTCCATCTGTTCAATTTAATAATGTAAACGTTTCGTCAGAATTATTAAATCTTGGTAATATCTATGGAGCTTTGTTAGTTGGAACTAACAACTGGACCGAAGAAATTCAGACTGAGGCCAGGTACCATATCATTCTTAATTCGGATCTCTTGTATTTCGTCGTATCTAAAGTGGCAATCTATTGAATTTGTTACTTTAGATATATAATGTAGTATCTGACTATAATTAAGCCCTAAAATTAGATTTTCATGTATGCAATTCTAGTCAGATGCTATTTTAGATATTTAAAGTAGCAACTTCGGATAGGTAGCTACTTCAGATGCGACATAGTATAGGTGATCCCTTTGATAATATTTCAAGAGATCCCTTAATTCATTGAAAAGATCTGTATCATGAACATTGACTTAAATTCCATTATATATTTTTCTAATATTTAAATTAGCTCTACTAATGTAAGTTTATAATTTTAATCCCATGTTATCTATGATCTTATATATTAATAAGGTATATAAAGAATAAATATATTGACAATAAACTTCATTTAAATACCATTTAGATTTTGGATGCTCTCGCATTATTTGCCGCATTTTATGGATTGCTAATGGGAATCTACGTCTGCCTCTTTGGTAAAATTTGCAATTTTTACTTGTTACATGTCTATCATTTTCAACTTAAGTTATAATTCAACAATCTTACTAATCATCGGCTTTTACAAAAAGGTTTCACTGCCGTGACTCCCTGGGGAATCTGTCAACGAACTTGTTGTAGACGTCGTGCAAAAGAAAAACTAGGTTTTCGCTTTGCTCCAAATGGCATCCCATTAATTTCTCGAAACAAACTCACTATCCGGGAACGATTATTTGCTGTGGAAGATTTCATCAAATTATTCATGTTAAATGTTGCTGATTTTGAAGATACTGGTCCAAAAACTACCGTCCCCAATACTAATGCCATTAGTCACCTCACTTATCTCGGTGGTGGTAGTATTTATGATGATGAGAAACCTCCACGAAAAGGTGTTGTGTCATATATTTCTGAGTCATCGACGTTAATTGACTCGATGCCTGATGGTGATCATAAAACAATCAGTAATATAAAACCATCTGAAAGTATAACAATATCTCAAGCAATGAGTCCACAAAGTAACCTTCTCACTGTTTCATTATCACCTATTAAAGAGGAAACTATACCAGATCTAACACAAGTAACAATAATACAAAAAAATAAACCAAATAAATCAGAAATACCACAACTAACAATAATACAAGAAAGCAATCAAGGTGATAGTGATATTTCTTCAACTCATAGCATAACGACTACTGAGTTTGATAGGCAAAGTAAAATAAGCATCGAACGAACAACTATTCATAGTATTATTGAGGAAGTTTATGTGGATGATGATGGAAATCCTATAGATGTTAATTCTTTGAATGCTGATTCCAAAACTATTCATAGTATTATTGAGGAAGATGTGATTGTGGATGAAAATGGAAATCCTATAGATTCAAACACTCTTTCTGGAAATAGTGGGTTACTGGTTCCAGGTGAAAGGACGCGAAGGACAAGTGTTATATCAACAAATACTTTGAATACTGATTCAAAAACTGTTCATAGTATAATTGAGGAAGATGTGATTGTGGATGAAAATGGAAATCCTATAGATCTAAGCACTCTTTCTGAAACTGGTGGGTTACTGGTTCCAAGTGAAAGGGTGCGAAGGGCAAGCATTATATCAACAAAAACTGTTATAAGTCAAGTAAGTCAGATTATATATCAAGATGAAAGTAGTGTAATTGAACATTCTGGGGAATTGGGTAATATTAATGAATAATCTGGAAAACTGGGTGATATTACCGATGTTGAAACTAAAGTTGTTGAAACTGAAGTTGTTGAAACCGAAATTGAACAAGTTGGAATAGGTGAAATTAGTGGATAAATATTAATTTTTGATTAATTATAATTATTAAATATTATGTTTGTATTAGTTCTGAAATGTCTTTCTCAAATTAAATAGTGGTGTATTGGTTAGGTGTATTTATTTCAGATTATGGAAATGTAATTAAGTAAAAAAAAAAGTGATTATATTATTCTTAATGTACAAAGATCATTCTATGAATAAACTCTCCAAAGCGTATTAATATTTGGATTTAATAACTACCGCTATTTCAATTTAATGAAAATAGCATCGTTTTTAAATATAATTTTATTATTAGTTATTCGATTCTTAAATATATATATATACAGTATATATATAACACAGTGTTCTTGACTGGAAGCTGGAACCCCACTGGACGTCCAGACTTTTCCAATATTCCAGTGGTTACAGTGACAATTTTCACTGGATCGATTATTCCACTGGAACAGATATTATGATAGCCAATAAAAATTTGAATAATAAATCACGTGATGTTAATCACCAGCCAATTAGACAATGATATTTTTTGTTTCGATTTTTATTTACAGTTTACTCGAAGTTTATTTCGTAATTCAAATGAACAAAAATATAGTTACGTTCAACTAAAACCAATTTATTTTAGTATTTATAAATCTAATCTACTATATTCATATAATTTGGTGCTGTAAATAACGGACCTAATAGTTTTTTCAACTCCCATTTAGCTTTAGGATCTACCGCAGGATGTTTGTAGTTAACAAATCACTATTTATATTACAATCATTATTCTCACGCTCTACCTCTTCTTCTTCTACTCTTGCAGCTTTCTCACCCTCCAACATTTGTTCCCAATCACCAAGCTGGATTTCCCAATTATCAGATATAACTATATTTGATTTATTCTGTCTAGCATATTCTGAATTGTTATTCTTGGTTCAAATAGTTCTTGTGAATAGATTGGTTAAATTGCTTGATTAGATGAAATATTGTAAGATTTATTTTGTTTTTTTTATTGAGAAAAGTTAATTGAGGTGCAAATTTGGCTTATAGCCAATACTTATTTATTTTATAATTTAAAAAATTATTTTTTTTAAAAAAAAGAAATCAAACAAGTGCTGCATAGTTAAAACTTGCAAATAAGATTTGTAAGTTTTAGCTGTGTATTACTTAAATTAATGATTTCTATGTATCTTGAGATGATTTCATCAGTTGGTGTAAATAAATTTCATTGAGCTTTATAATTATTTAACAGATGCTGTATTAACACAAATCCCAAATAATCAAATAGTCAAAAATCTAATTTTTTAGTTAATAAGAAGATGAATTTCCAAAATTCTAACACATTTTTAAATTGTTTAAATGTTGTGTGGGTATTTATATTTTCTATATTTTTCAAATTCAAGTAAAATGCAAGTTGGTAAATATTTAAACCATGTTTTATAATAATAGATAATAAACTAAGCAAGATAAGTAAAATTTAAATTTTTAGTATTTGTATTAAACCATGTATCATAAATATTTAGATTTAAAAAGAAGGCCAATAGCAACAATAATTGGTTTTATTATTTTTACTTCTGCTCTAACTATAAGATTATATGGTATAATAAATCTAAATTATTATATTTTTTTACATTTTCAAGATTTCATCAAAAGCCTATAATACTTCATAAAGACTTACAATAAGAAATAGTAGATATAAAAGTTTTTATTAATTGTCAGAACTATTATTAAGTAGAATTGATAATATATTATATAATAAATAAAGTTCATTTAAATAAATTAACAATTGATCTAATTCTTTATCAAAATTATAAGTTAAAGTATTTAATAGTAATTTATATACTATATAATATCTAAGTTTTTAAAACAAATTAATTAATATTAAATTAATATTATTAGAGTTATTGTCTAGAATGAAACAGAGGACTTATATATTTATGCACTTTGATGACTAAAATTACAATTTTAATGCATTTATAATAATAATATCAAAACATAGTTTCAGTATTTTCAGTTTATAACGCCCCTGAAAATTTTGATCTGCATTATATATAACCAGATTTTTCAGGGGTTAGAGCAATTAATTGAATACTATTATAGGCTCCTAACTTATATCGGTTTTTAGTTCCTAGTTAGTTATTTATTATCAGAAATAATGCTAAAATTAAATGATATTAGAATTTTAATTTATTTTAGAAAATTGATGTTTCTATATCCTTTTTTAATATTATCACACCCCTGTTAAAAAATTAATATAAATTATTAGGTTTAATTAGAGTTTAGAGTTAGCAGAGATGCAACAATATCAAAAAGAGTATAAAAATATCAATTTTTTTATTTTATATAAAATTTTAGTATTTATTATTGATGGTGATACTACTACCTTCTATTTCTTTATCAAATTTAAAAATAGTATACAATTTTAGACCAAGGTTAGGGTTAAATATAAGAGCTCAAATCTTTGTTAGAGTTAGATTTTTGGGGGTTCTGAACATTTTTACTTAATGTCTTTAACATTGTTAATTAGTAGGTTTTAGATATAGTATCCTCAATGATATTGCTACTGATGATAAATAACAATATTCTTTTATATTGTAACATAATTATTAGCTCAACAGAGTACAACGTGATAATCATATAATTACGTAATCATGATCACATGATACCAACAAGCTAACAAACTTCTTGCTTATTTATTTATTTATTTATAAAATCATTACTTTATTATTGTTATGCATAGATCATTATACATAACATTGTTAGGATAGTAATTTATTTAAAATGAGTTTGTAACAAGGAGAGATTGTAATAAATTTTGAAATTAATCTAGAGAGTAGATAGTTAAATATTAGTAAAATGTTTTTTTATAAAAATGTTCTATAAAAGACTTACAAAAAGACATTATTCACTGCTTCAAGTTTTATTTTATACAAATAAAATGCCTTTTTATCTTGATATTTCTCCTAACAAAGACCTAAATCCACCTTATAACTGACTATTTTAGTTACAATATATTATATAATTTTAAATTTTCTACAGTAAAATTTATATTTTTAAATCAAAACTTCAAATTTTAGCATTATCTGATTTTAGTATTATATTAATATTTAATAACTAAACTATTTTATAAGATTAAAAATCTAAAGATTTTGACTAATTTTTATTTATTTTACCAAAGTATTTTTGCAAACTGTAATAAACTAGCTCAAAAAAGTATAAAAATAGTTCTTAATAGATATATACCAAAAATTGGAGTATATCTCAATAAATAAATTATATTTAAATTTAACTTAAATTTAAAATAAATTAATTTAATCTAAATTTAAATATAATTTTTAATTTAATATAACTTTAATTTAAACTTAATTAAACCTAGTTTGATCTAAATCTAAATCTAAATTTAATTTAAAACTAATCTAAACTTAATTTAATCTAATATAAATTTTTTTTAATTTTAAAAAATAAGGCCATGCCTTTAACTTTATTGAAATTTAATCAAGTTCCTTTACAAAAAATATATACAAGAAAAAAATTATATTTAAACCTTATATTTAAAGAATACTAAAACTTGAGACTCAAACACAATGTTACAATATATAATAATATAATTATCTGTGGTCTAAACCTACAAAAGTGGTCATGGTTCATCTAGATTTGAAGATTTAGAAGTAAATTGTAAAAGTTAAATTAATATTTAATCCATTTTGGGTACTATAATTCTAATTTAGAACTAGCAATTGAATAGAGTAAAGATCGAGGTTGGTATGATACAGTAAATACAGAAAATAACTGGTTAGTAAAAATATTAGCTTAGAATCTAGAAATACAATATGGAATTCAAATAAAATTATAAATTTGTTTGTTAAGGTGTAGCAGAAATTTAATTGCAAGTGATATTGCAGTTTTTTTAGATAAGATAAGATCAGTAAGAACAGATATAATTTCAATAGAAACAAGACTAGAAATTGTTGATAAAAGAGATAGAGTATTTGGTGAGTTATAGATTTGTATACATTGAAGATTTTGAATTTGTAAATATATATTAGTAATAGATTTAGCTAAAGAGTTAAGGTTAAATAAGTTTATTGTTAATTGAAGTGAGTTACTGATCAAGTCTTGAAGAGGCTGAGATGTTGGGCATGTAATTCAATAAAGTATAATACTAGCTTGATTGTATTGGTGGCATACTGGTGCATATACAGGATTATATTTATATAGAATATGTGGAGTAGACAAATCATCAAATAAGATTTTAATATGAAATGATTCAAAGTCAATATCTGGAAGCTGTGTAAATAGTTCGATATCTTTTAGTTATTATTAATATATAGTTAGGTAGCATGTCAGTAAATCTGATTAGAGATTTGAAACCATTACTGAAATCAGGTTGTAATAATCAAAGAGTATAGATATAAGTATAGCAAATTGTTCAAATAAATCATCTAATTGGTAACTTTACTGAAAGTTATCAAAAAGAAGAGTATAGTTTGAGTTGTATATATTGTAGGGCTTAAATATTAAATAAGGTGTGTTAAAATAATTTTAAGCTAATTAGTCAGCCTGATTATTAAATTTATCATTTTAATGAGCATCAACCTTATGAAAGATAACTTGTAAGTTATTTTTTTTTAATAATTCAGCAATCCTGCCTCTGTTTATTTGAGATTAAGCTATTCAAGAATTATACATTTCTATCTTTTAAGACCTATACATTTCTATCTG